TATATATATATATATATATATATATATATATATATATATTAGCCCGTGCTTATTGAAAAAGATGCAGGAAAATACAGAAATCATATAATTTTATTAAAGTAAGGGCCGGAAGCCCACAAATAAGAACATGAAATGCTGGTGGACAGATAGAGAAGAGCCCAATTGACCTTGAAAAGAGGGTTTATCTTTCTGGACAATATATTTAAATATTAATAGGTCTTAATAACGTAGGATTGATCAATTTCTCAAAATACTAAAGACACATCTTCACATATAATAATGATCAAATATGTATTGTCAAAACAGGTCTTATGCACTTGCACCGTTAATAGTTTTACACTAATAACTAAGTTTTTTTTTTTTTAATTTTATGACCGGGAAAAGGCTATTTTTTATAAATTACGAAATTTAAAATCTGTAGTTTATTTATGTGTAATTCAAAAAGTAATATTTTATTAATTAGAAAATGAAAGTTGTTCATGTATAATTATACAGAATGATTTCATGATTATTACTTTTATATAAGTAATATTTTACCAGCATTTAATGTTTTTCAATTGTTACAATTCGAATAAAAGTTAAAATCTTTTTTTTAATTCTAGTTGGTAGATACTAAGTGAAGTTTAGAAAGCATTATAAAATTTTATTGTAATAATTTTTATTCCTAATTTTTATTCCTTTCAAAAGTTCTTACGTTCAGAATTTTTTTTTTTTTCAAAATATTGACACTGTACATTAAACTTGCAACGTTTTTTAAATTCGAAATTTGTTTCCCAATTTGTTGGAATTTCGCTTAAATTGTTTAGGGAAATTTGTTTGGTTAGTAAACAAAGTTTTCTAAATCGCATCACCTTTGATTTCTAAAGAAGCATATTGAATAAAAAATAAATAAATAAAATTTAAAAAAAAAAAACAACGCTGTAACGGGTAAATTAGGAAGCTTTTCTCTCTTAGAGATTCATGCAGAAGAATCAAGTTGCTGTGTTCTTGCGCAAAGTTTTGGTTCATGTTAATCTGTTTTACATGTTATCGATGCAAATTAAGAACATTCTGTGTAAATATATAGCAGAACTAAAGTAATGTACAGGTTATCATATAATAGTTTAGTAAAGCATTGTAATGTCCATCTTGTTTCTTTGCTATCTAACTATTGTTTGAGGCATGAAATAACACTCTGTACAAAGCGTTATTTAGTTTCCTAAATTGCACCTTCTTTGATTTTTAAAGAAGCATATTGTATAAAAAATAAATAAAATATAAACAAAAACGCTCTAACGGGTAAATTAAGAAACTCCGTTGTTATATTAACGAAAGTTATTCAAAATTTTTGAAGAATAAATATCAAAAACAGAAAAAAAGGAAGAAAGACTTTTTTCACCAGTATAAGTATGGTACTATGCGGTTTAATTCCTTTTAAAGAAACACGTAGAAATAAAAAATAAAAAAATATTAAAAAAATATTTTAAATGTTAAAATATCGAGTAACATTTCCGCTTTCTAACAAATTCGATTAAAAAAATGCAACTGCTTTATACATAAAAAAAAATTTTTTATCGTTTGATAATAAATAAATAAAATTCAATATAATCGTTTTGATAATAAAATGATATTTGATAATAAAATTCAATATAATCGTTCGATTAATAAAAACTTCAAAAATATATAACTAAATAAAACAATTATTTCTAAACTAATATATACATAATAAACATATAAAAAATATGTTTGAAAATATAGTTTATAAATCAAATAAAATTTTGATTAATAACATTTCTCATCCATAATTAAATTCATTTTTTATCATATTTTGTATTTGCTCAGTAAATGCATATTAATTAAACGTTTTCTGAAATGCTTTTTTTTGCAACGAAATCTTAGACTAAAGTTAAATTAGCGGTGGTAGAATAATTTGCAGTTACTAAATAAATACGAAGTTTTATGTTTTGCAGTTACTAATTAATCACCTAATTGTAAATGCTTAAATCAAATAAAAATTTCTAGAAAATCTAGAAAATTATTCTTATTATTGTTCTTTTTCGTTGGAGAACGTAGTATTTAAAAAGAAATATAGCTTACACAAATTATTTAAAATATATTTCTACGTAATTTCAAGAAAATAATGTAATATTTTTCTTTTTACCTTTCAGGAGTGATTTTGAATTTAGTGTTATTCTACAGAAAACTTGAGAACTTAGGAACTCTTTCAAATTAATTATAGTGAAAGACAAAGGTCCAGTATACGGATTTTTCTTAAAAATTTAACCATAATTATGATGAGTACATAAAAATTTGCAATGTATCAAAATTATTTGATGAAAAAATGAAATTCTAAAGAGCGGCGTTGCAAACAAAATACCAGATTTCAATATAGTGATTACTTATTTGCATATTTTACCTATTCATCTATTCACAACGTTATATTCATAAATATTCTTGAAACCTTCATTTCTTGTCTGGTTACTCGGAATCGTATGATGTTGTTATGATATGATCGGAACCTTGATTAGAAAACCACTCAAGATATTTTGCGAACCCCAACACGCCTTCTTGTGAGTTGTTTTTCCTTCGCCGTAAATGGCCTGAAGCCAAACGGAGAATTTTCGCGTCATCTGAGTAATTGATCATAACTAATAAAAAAATAAGTACACATAATGTGTCTTCGTTTTTATTCGATATGACGTAAAAGATTCTGAACTTCTCCTTGAAAACATTTTGTAAACGAACATTCATTCATTCACACAGCTGGCGCGTTTGAGGTGAAAATGCTTCTGTCGAAGTTGAAATTGTTTATTAATGTTTCTCACAAATCGCCGCTGCTGCAGGCGTTGGCACCTGTAGCAAACTCTATTAGGAATACCCATGATTCTTTTAAATATGAAGATCTAACTATCACTCTCGCCGAAGGTGATAAATTGAAACCAAAACCAGATTTTAGCTCCCTTAAATTCGGAGCCAATTTCAGTGACCACATGTTGGAGGTAGAGTGGTCAGAATCAGCTGGTTGGGGTAAACCACGAATCCTACCGGTGCACGCATTTCAATTACACCCTTGCTCAAAAGTTCTACACTATGCCCAATCTGTGTTCGAAGGCATGAAGGCATTTAAGTATTCAAATGGAAAAGTCGCTTTGTTCAGACCTGACATGAATATGAATCGTTTTTTGGTCACTTCAGAACGGGCATGTTTACCTGGTTTCAATCGGGAAGAACTTCTAAAATGCATAAAGAAACTAGTGTCCATCGATAAGAGCTGGATACCAAACCGTGAATTGTGTTCTTTATACATCAGACCGAACTTTATCGGAACAGAAGATACGTTAGGTGTTGCCTCTGCGAAAACTGCCTTGCTTTATGTCGTCAGTGGTCCTGTTGGTCCATATTTTACTACTACTATAGAACCGATATCTCTCCTAGCTGATCCCAAACATGTTAGAGCTTGCCCTGGTGGTGTTGGCTGTTACAAAATGGGATCAAATTACGCGCCAACCTTGTATATTCAAAAACTTGCCCAAAAGCAACAAATGGACCAGGTTTTGTGGCTGTATGGACCTGATCATCAAATAACGGAGGCTGGAGCAATGAATGTTTTCTTTGTTTTGAAGGACACGAAAGGAGATCTAGAATTAGTTACCCCTCCTTTAGATGGAACTATTTTGCCTGGAGTAGTACGTCATAGTGTCTTAGACTTGGCAAGGAGCTTGAATGAATTCCGTGTTTCTGAAAGACCAATAAATATGCGTGAAATAATCAGTGCTCAAAAAGAAGGTCGCTTGCTGGAAATGTTTGTGTGTGGTACTGCTTTGGTGGTGTGTCCTGTAAAATTAATTCGATTTAATGGAGAGGATATAAATATTCCGACTATGGAACGAAAAGATGGCTTACATAGTCGTTTCCTGAAAATGATAACTGATATTCAGTACGGAAGAGTAACGTCTGATTGGTCTGTGTCGGTAGATGAGGAGTAAAATGTTTTTGGATAATTATTTATTAAAATTCAAACTATTTTGTTTCCTGTCCATTTTAGCGGCCATTATTTTGAGAAGTTTTAAATATGAAGTATGACTACCTGTCTAAAAAACAGGTGAGTATTATATCATAGTCATTTGGGGTGCTAATGAACTATAGCAAAGAGCCCAGGGCCGCTAAAATTTAGGGCTGCCAAAAAACAATTCATTTTCATTGGTACGATTTAAAATAATTTTTATTTCATTTTTTTTTAATTTTGTATCATGAAATTACATATTTATATTAATATTGTTATACTCATATTTTTATAAGTTGCATATTATAAATCTGTATTTCACATTTGTAATTGTAATCGGCTTTATTTTCTCTTTCAAATTTTTAACGTGATCTTATTGCTAGAGCTTTTAAAATGAAGCTGATACATTTAACTTTGCCCGTGGCAGTTGATACCTCTGTCACGTTCTGGTTAGAACTTTTTTTACAATTGATTTCTTTATAAGTGATTGCTTGGTGTAATGCGTTTGCAACTTTTTTCGGATTTCTTTAACAATTATTAATAATATTTAATTAAATGTATTGATAAACCTTTACTTAAATTGGAATCATTGATTTAAATTTAATTTTTTTTCCTTCAAATAAAGTGCATTTGTAGTACTTTTTTTTAAAAAAAATTATAAATAGCGAGCGTTTTGCTTTACCACATTATTTATCTTAAAATTTATGCTCAATGAGCAAAATATAGAAAAAAATTACAAAATGAAATGAAAAATAAGTTATAAACGCATTTTCTCTTTAGAACTGATTTTATTCACAAATGTTCATGCATTGCATTTATGGAAAAGGCACTTTTTTTAAGAGCTTTCTGTTTTTCAAAGTTAATCATTTTACCATTTATGATTGTCTGTTTCCTACAACCGTCAGTGAAACTTAATATAACAATTTTATAAGTTAAAATTGAAAATTACTGAAAACAATATGATTTTTAGAATTTAGAGAATAGTATAATAATCTTTCCTATTTCTTAAAACTATAGTTTTAAGATTTTCAGCATGTATAGTATTTATAAATAACTCTAAGAACAAAAGACTTTTAAATTTAATTGATGGAATTATTGTATTAACAACTATTTCGTTACATTTTTAACTATATATTAGCTTTCAAACTGCATTCATTAATTATATTCTGTATTCTATTAAAAATATTGCATTTCTTTAAAAAAAAAAATGTCATTTTTTGATATGCAGAGTTTATCATTATACCATTTGGAATTTATGCTCATTTTCTAGTTTCTTTATTTCCTTCGTGTAATGTAGTGGGAAAAAATGTAATAAAGTGAAAACATTACATGATAATTTAATCTAAAAATTTATTAAAAACAATATTTAAAAATTTTTTAGTTACACTTTTAGTTTGTTAGTAGCATGGTATTTAATATTTAGGCAAATTGAATCATCATTACCATTAAATACTAATGTAAATAAGATTCTTTATTATGCTATTGTAATTTTATTAACTGTTTTATTGTCTGGAAATTTTCATTTTAATTGATGATTAATTTTTATTGTTTAAGGGGAAATTCCGTTTTTAATTTTTTCAAAACAATTGATTTAATCAATTATACTAAAATTTGAATATTGAGACATTTTTTTTTTAGTTATGCTTGAAAATTTTATAAGTTTTACCGCTTGAAAAGTTAATATTTTATAACAATTTGATTTACGTCAATCATCACATCATACACAGCTGTAGAATACTTTTCTTTGCACGTTTAATTTTTTTTTATCATGACGGTTCCAGATAATTGAATAACTAATTCAAATTTTCATCGAAGTCTATATTTATCATTTTACTAATTTGATAATAATATAATAATAAAATGATAAGAGAAATTCTTAAAAAAATTCTACTTGCACCAAAATCTAGGATTAAAGCATACGTGCTGTTAAATAAACACATCAGTAGACAATACGGGAAGCTACCTTGTCTGCGAATATAAAAAAAAAAATAAAACACCTATTTGAGATTTCATCGTAAAATTTTACAAAAACTTATTTCAGGCTCATTCGTACTAATAAAAATAGCTCTGTATCTTTCTCATTTCTATGAATTTCAACACTATAGTTTTTAGACAAATTTCTCACTATTGTATAAAAATTTTAAAAAATTATCTTTCAAATATTTTGTAAGGGTAAATCAATATTCATTAATTTATTAATTTTTGTACGACTATAATTTATAATAATTTTTAATATTTAATTTTGTTTCATATTTCGGTAGCTAACTATATTAGTTCATTTTTATCAAATAATTTTATAAAATTAATTTTTATAAATAATTCATTTTGATTATAGTATATATGTTTTAGACATTGATACATTTTAATTTATTTTTAAAAAGCATTTGAATCAATATGTTTGTATTCGTTTAATATCTTATTAAATATTTCATTAATTTTTTTTATTCCATAAATATATTTGTCAATTCTTTTTGTAACAAAATGCTTCAATTATATTTTTAAGGGGTTATACACATTTTTTAATTATAAATTTATATTTATTTCGAAATTCGAATACATTTTAAAATAATGCAAAAAAAAATAATACTTTTTGTGTAATGTCAAACTAATTAGTTGCTAAGAATAATTATCAAATAGATTTTAAAGCATTTAAAATTATAATTAGACAGAGAAAAAAGACTATATTTTATTTAATTTTATTGCACTTTGGAAGGAATCGATACGATTATTTGTTTTTGAAAGCATCTAACTATTTTCCATTATATGTTTTGTTCAACAAATATATTATTTCATTAAATGTCTTGAAATTTTGTTAACAATTGCATTCAAACTGTTTTTGTTTTTTTATAATATGGTTTTAAGCATATTACATTCATCTTGAGGCAATATCATCGGAATGAAAAACACAAACCGGAAGATAAACATTCAACTTTCTAATGCAAAATGAGTATGTATAAGGTAGTAACTTGAGGCACAATGAGTATGATAGGAATTTTCAAATAAGTTGATTACAAAATAAGAATTTATAATAATACTCCAGAAATAGCTTATTGTAAGAAAGTTATCATGAAATCGAAAAATAATTTTCAAAAACGAAAGTTCACTTCTTTATCCACTAACTATAAAAGTTAGAATAAAGAGGATAATGCACTCACAAATACAAAGAAAAAAATAGTTTTTGAGGTTAGTACAAAAGCAAAACTTTTCACATTCGATGTTCCATAAAAATGAGAATAACCGCAATAAATAAAGATAACATAAACGAGTTTACTAAATAAAGACATTAAAAGTGATTTTATTACTTTTATATTGAATTATCTCGAAAAACAAGAAAGCTTACTAAATCAGAAGAAAAAAACTAGAACTAACTTAATGCAATAAACCCATAATTTTTACGATGTAAAAAGCTCAGGATCAAAAGTAATGTCCCCACCCCTGACTGTTGGTGCTTTTTACAGTAAAATCCATTTTTACAGCAAAATTTTGCAGATCAAAAATCTGATGTACATTAATTTTTACAAAAACTTTCACTAAATCACTGCAATTAAATAAATATTACTTTAAAAATTACGTTTTAAAATTATACGGTAAAGAGGATTTTACAGATGCTACACTCAAGGTGTTTACCGTAACTTAATTCGGAATTTTAGTTCACAGATTTGCTGAATTCTAAAAATTAGTTAAAATATTTGATATTGGGAATTGTAAAATGATGACAGTGTTTACTTTTTACTGCTTATTTTATTTATTTTTTCATTAACCTTATATCGGTACGATATCTAATGATATAATTCCAAAAATCTCCCACTTTAAATAATATAATTATATTGACGAATATGTGTACTCTTGTTTGATATCCTTTATTTTATTTTTCTCAAAGCATTTAAATATATGATATTTTAAGACTCAAAACAATCACTTTTAAATTATTATTATTTTTAAAATATTTATGCATAATACTTTCGTTAATAACGCATATAATAGCAATATATTCTTTAGGAATTTTTGTTATGTAACACTTATAAAGCAATAAGACAATGAAGTTATGCTGCTTCTGCACACATTTTTCATTATATACGAGTGCAATTCCCCCCCCCCTTTTTTTTGCATGAAGCAAACATCAACAAAATATGAAAAATTATGAATAAGCAATAGTCAGAATTTTTGAAATTATCAACAATAGTGACTTAGTTTTGCATGCAATGAAACATTAAATATGAATAAGCAATATTATTAACAAATCCATTAAAGAATAATTAGGGTTAACATTTTTCAACAGAATTGATACAATCTGGAAAAAAAATTTATAGCATACTTAATGGTAACTCTTTAATTGTTTAAGAGGATAAAAAAACAACTATTGGATGAGGGTTATTAGTGATGTTTAGTAAATATGAGTAAATTAGCTTTATTGTTTGCATTTTGATAATGCGTTTGATAATGCATTTGACAATAGAAATACAGATCATGCCTTGGCTTTTATTACTTATCCGCAAATTTTTTATTGGTAAAATCTGTAAGCCCCTATCACTCATTTAAACTATTCGTGCCATAGCGTTCACAAGCTTGTCATTTAAATGTGTTTTTCGAAAGCTATTTATTACGAAATATACTAGGAGCCTTTTTTCCACTCCAAAAATACTGAAACATCGTCATTTTTACCGTCATCCTCTCATGTTTGTGAAATTTAAAAACTTCGTAAAGTAAGACTATTTTTACAATTTTTTTTTGAAAAATGTCACTAAAACCTTAATCTTTTAAGCTCACCAAATATCAGCTAGAAAATCCAATTATATAATATATGTGTACGATCCTTTTCATTTGGAGTTATTTTAAAAACAAATTATTTCTATTCTTATTTATTTACTTTCGAACAATTTTATTCTGTTTTCATTCAAGCGTTGAAGAAATTGATAAGCCATTTCTATTATAATCTACTGCTTTGTTTAATAGATCATTTCTAGAGTTGACTTCGGACAAAAAAAGCTGGTATCTTAAAGACTCGTAGATGAACAAGGCCATCTCATTCTTCTTTTTTTATTTTTTGTAATTTTTGTTTCATCTCTTCGAAGTAGACTTGGAACTGGCCTTGTTTTCTTCTCGGACATTTCAATTTTCTTTTCATTTTAAACATCAAGTTTAAGAGGCATATGAAGAAGAAAGAATTCAAGGTCTCGACTCTCAAATCGTGAGGAATGGTTGTGAACATTTTGAAGATAAGATGAAATTAAGAAAATGTAACCTCTTCATGCTTTAATGAGAGATTTGCGAGTTATGAAATAATACACTAATTGTCGAATTTATTTGGTATTTTGTGTCTGAGTAGCAAAAGGTTCCGGGTTGACATTAAAAATTGTTTCTGAACTTGTAAGTTGCGTTAAATTATTAAACATAATTTCGAATTAAAAAGATGAAGAATTACTTAATTAAAATCGTAAAACGTAAATTATTTTGGAAGAAGAAACCCCAACAAAAAAAAATTAACAAATTGCATTTCCTTCAAGTAAGTGAATTTAACAAACAAAATAATAATTTATTATGCATTTATAGATTGAAAAAAACCGTATTTCACATATAAACAAAGTTATAGAAAAATATTTTTTTAGAGATAATAATTTTTATTTTTATTTATTAATTATTGTTCTAATAAAAAATAAAATGAACTTAATTATTTGAGTTGAAAATATGGGTTTGTATAGTATAAATAGATCTCTTCAACTCAGATAATAATGAACTGAAAAAGAAGGTTGACTTAAATAATTAATTATTACTACATTTCTTTTAAGTTTATTACGAGTATGTTCAGTTATTTATAATAAAACAGTAAATGCAACGAGAGGCATTCAAAAACAAAAAATCAATATGGAGATCATAAAAATCTAATTTTTTTTAACTTTCATATAACTTTATAAAATGATAATTTGTTGCCAATTTTAGGGGACTGGATTATCTATTAGGGGGACCGAAAAGTAAAGACGCTTCGGTGCATTAAATATTCGTTAATCTTAAAAACCAATTCATTTTTTTTTTCGATTCATTTTCAATCTGGCATTGAAAGGTTGTTGCTAACGAGGGTGAATACTTGATTGATTAAAAATGAAATCTTGATAACAAATATTAAATGCACCGAAACGACATTACTTTCTGATCCCCCTAATATTTTTTTCAAATTACTATAGAAAGTGTGATCAATGTTCTTTAGACTTACACTAAATTTTGTTTAAAAAATTATTCTCAATTTATACAAGAAAAATAAAGCTTTACCATATATAGGAAGAAAATGCTTTTCTGAAATGCATGATTTATAAAGTAGATGGTAAAGCAAAAGTAGGTAAA